CATCCAGAAAAGAGAGACTGGCCTCGATGGACTGTTGATTTGACCCAATACAGCAGTTCTTGTGTTTTAAAACTCTTAACCTAACATTTAGACCTCCACGTAGCAGATGGTGTCCTTCAAAGGGCCTTTGTTTAGTTAGCTAAGATACAAATTCAGCTATGTTGCAACCAACTTTGTGAAAGGCTTCCACTTTGTAATCTTTATTTTGAAGTGGTGCTGTTACAGGGAAATACATTCCACAACTGCAGTGTATACTGAAGTGCAAACCCCTCCCAAAGAAACGTGATCAAGATAAAGAATGCAATGTTACAGTTCACGTGGATGCAGGCAGACTCCGGTCACCTTCTTCCCTCCTGCAGGCCCTCCCCTACTTTATGTAAGTTCAAATTAGCTCTCCGGTTGTAAAGGGGCAGTAAAATAGCAGATGAAATTGAGGGAGGTGAGTTGGATGTGGAAGAATCAAATGATAGAAAGTGGCACTTTCTGTTGATGTGTTTTGAAAAATGCCTCCTTCTGAAGCTGATCTGCAGCTTCTCTGGAATGGCCTGTCCCGCTTCCTTGCTGTTAGCTCTTTCTTTGTGTCTCCCTCTTGATGAACAGTGCATCTGTATATATTCACGAGTAAAATATACAGCCCAATACCTTCTACCAGAAAAATGAAATCCACTTCTGCTCTTATTTCCCAGAAAAGAGAAGGCAAGAGCTAAACTGTTAAAATATTTGTAGGCCTCATGCTAATCTAGACAAATTCATTTTGATGCAAGCCAGATACTGTCCCACTTTGTTGTCCCCAGTCCCATTGCCCTAAATATTGCAGCTTATTCCATAAATCATTATTGCAGAAAGGTCAGGGAAGTCACAAACTCTCTGCAGCTTGTAGAAAAAGACCAGCTACGTTTCTCTTCTCCCATAACTCCAGCACAGTCAAATCAGATGGCAAGAATGTCAAGCCTCTCCCTTTGCTTGGAAATTCATTGAACAAAATATTTTGGGAGCTGGCTTTTAAACTAAACGCTATTGAGGATTTTGGTTGCAACTGGATCAGCACGGGAAGAAATGGTGTGTTCATCCCTAGGAATCTAAGGAGAGGTCAACGTGCTTGAAATTTAGGGGAATCAAAGAAGAACTTGTTTAAAGAGTGAGATGAGGAAAGATGTTTCCGAGGATCATGGTACACTGTCTGTACACCAGTGGCTCAGAAAGGGAGCTCTGTATGTGCAGTTAAATCTCAGGTCACTGCTTTAAGGACTTTAAGGACTGTGATTCTGTGAGAAATGACACTGAGTGACAGAAAAATAAATGAAGATGTGGAAGCATCAGGTATTCAGAATGAAAGCCAAGGAGCGAGCACACTAACCATCGCTGCTGATGCAATATATTAGCTAGAGTAAAATTGGAGATATCGCTGATGGATTTTGCAAGGAAAAGTGGTGGCACGTCTAGAACTGAGCATACGCAGGAACAGAGTTCATAGGGGACGATTTTTGTGATAGCTCGAAGAAAGCAATGAGCAAAGATAAATAATGCCAATAAATGAAGGAGAAATAGTTTGAAGGTCATTTAATTAGTTTAGCTGCTAGCACCATGGTGTATAGAATTGGGTAGTTAAGACTGGGGATTTCAAGGTTAATGAGATTAGATTATGGATAATAGAATGATATAAATTTAGAGAATTTAACTGTTATTTGAAATGGGTTATTTAATAAAACTGTTAATTAAGGAGGGAATCCATATTATCATCTTCTCTTTCAAAATTAACCATTGGGGCTCTGGAGAAGGGTCTCAGCAAAGTCCTGGGCAGGCTCAGAAGAGAGGTGACTGGGTTACCTGGAAACTCCACGTAGCGTCCTCTGGAACCTAGCTGGTATCCCGCGTAATGCCACCTGAAGACTTCATTACCTCCCGGCTGAAACTATGGGCAGTACTTGTTTTGTTAATCAGACTTCACAGTGCCGCTGAGAGAGGAGTGACATCCCTCATGCTTGGAGGCTATTAGAAGCAAACTGTTTGCATAGGTCTGATTTTATCCTTTAGACCTAGTTCGCAAAGCAGGAAAGCCTTTTCGCCCCGACACAGCCATTTGGACTCCGCCTCTGGAGTGGAGAGTCGTGCTCCAACGTACACTGAGACCCTCGCGTGTGGTGTAGCAAACAAGGGAGGGGATTGCCAACTCCAGCAATGACAGTAAGAGAAATGCAAAAGGAACTGTTGCCTCACGACAGCTTTTGGTTGCCACATAGGCTCTCTTGGGATTGTGTTTTGTGACCCGCTTGCCAGTTGTAGTACTTGGGCACGCAAAAGCTGTGTATGCTCTGCCCTGGGTGGCGTGAAAGCAGGCAGGACTCCTCTGCTTTGCTGCCTGCCCTCTTGCTGGAGGTGGTTTTTAGGGGCCAGGGTGTGTATTAAACATGACTCAAGTCTTTGGACTGGTACGTGCTCTGCAGCTTGCTACTTGTTGGAAGCAAGAGCCTCAGATCAAGACAGCAGGAGCTCAGCCCACCCTGAGGAATCGCCCTCCAGAACGATGCCACAGCGTATTGTGTCCGGAGTCTCCCAAGCATAACAGTACCCCAGAGACCCCTAAAAGCCAGTGGAAATGAGAGTAGCCAATAAACTTCTCTAATTTCTGCCAGGGGTAGTCTGCCCCAAAGGACTGTTTGAAGGGCTGAGCTGTTTTCTCCTCCTCGGCTGTTTCAGCCCAGCGGAGAACGGAGCCCGAGACCTAGCTACGCTGATGCTGCAATTCCAGATTTTCATAAAGGCAAGATTCAGCACAGTCCCCCAGCAATTTTACGTGCTGTATCCCCAGGGCTCGGCTTTGTCTTAAAGATGTCTTAGCCAGGGCAAGCTACACGGGGATCTTCCACATTTTAACAAGGTTTTGTGGCTACTTGTAAATGTGATTTAAAACTGATTTTGATGACTGCAGCTCTCCTGGGGCAGGCAGAGACAGTGCTTGCTGGGGAAAAGCAACTGTGTTCCCAAATTGTAGGGCAAAATCTTGAGATTTTTAAGCAGGTAAGAAGGGAGTCTACAAAGCAGCATCAGGGATACAAGGTCTCAGAGGACGTAAGAAAAACTTGCACCTGGGCAAAAAACAGTGGACACGGTACTTGCAGGAGCCTTAAAAAGCCTGTATATATGATGACTGGATGTGCAAAGAAGTGAAAGATAATGAAGGCAAAGTCCTAGGTTTGCAGAGGGAAAAGAAAGTGGCAGTTACAATAACATGCACCAAAAATGCTAGAGATGGAGAATTTTGCACGTGCCTGACCCAATTTGTTATGTTAGGCAGAGGATTACATGAAAGGATTAAGCTTTGCTGTCCTTAAGGTCACGTTAGGGGTCACAAGTTTGTGACCTTGCCTGATCCCTGGCTTGCAGGGAGCAGAAATCGGGAGGCTTTTTATGGGGTAGAAGGGACTCGTTCACTGGGTGAACGTTTGAAGTCGGGCTACTTTGCTCCCGTAGCCACAGAGCTGATAACACAGACAGTAAGCAAGCAGAGTGGGGCAGAAGGACTTCAGGCTTCTCCTGGGGGAGACCCTGCCAGCCCTCTCCCGAGGAGTGTTGGAGTACAGCTTGCCTGGTGCAACAGCAGATGTGACTGCAGCGAGGTGGGGCTGTGCCAAGCAGCCTTACTCTGCAAGGTGCGTTACCCTCTTCCCTGGAGTCCTCTCCCTTTGCTTTGGTAAAGTTTACTAGCTGCTTGTCAAGGAGCTAAGAGAGCTGAATCTGAAAGATCTGAAATCTTTCCCTGGCTAAGTTTTCCCATGGTTGGCTTGAGGCTGGAATACTAATATTGTATCCATCTCCATCTGCAGAATACCTGCCAATGTCTCTGTGTCTCAACAAAGCAGCACAAGGACATCTATCAAGATCTAAATGTTACTGTAGGGATTGTGCTTTCTGCACAGAGCCATCTTTTAAACATGCAGATATAGGGGCAGAGTGTGTAGGGACAAAGGATGACAACAGCTGACTCCTTGTGGACTTGACTCTTTCAAGCATCATTTCTCCTCCTTCCTGTATACCTTCTCTGTAGCAGCTCTTTCTCCTTGTAGCAGCTTCCCCAGATTTTTCTGTCTTGCCAACCCTCTGTCCCATTTCAAATCTTAGGTGGAAAAACTGCAGGCATACCTTTTAGTTCCCTTTGCTTTCCATCGCATTTGCCCTTCTGGAACAGATTGCTCAGAGAGATTGTGGAGTCTCCTTCCCTGGAGATATTCAAAAGCTGCCTGGACACAATCCTGGGCAATGTTCTCTAGGTGACCCTGCATGAGCAGGGGGGTTGGACTAGATGATCTCCAGAGGTCCCTGCCAACCTCATCCATTCTGTGATTCTGCAAAGCGTTTGGGGACCCTGCAGAACGCATGCCACCCTCTCCCTGCCCCCAACAAAGATGCACTGGAAGCTATGGACGTGGCTGAAAATGAGGAGTATGTTTTGTGTTTGATGCACCAAAAACACAGCTGGGAATGTTCATTTTCTCTTTGTCGTTGCCAAAGAGGTGGATATGTACAATTAAATATGATTTTCCTGACAATTACTTCATGCCACTAAAACCTTTTCCTGCTTTAAAAGTTCGGTGACCTACTTAGGTATTTCAAGGCTGTTTGGGTTCACCTTTCCTCTTGCATTTTGCTATGTCATTCTTTTGCCCTCGTTACATGCTTGATGCAGCCAGGCTCCCAGCCATGGTAAATCTCATCATAAACTCTGCTTGATGACCCTCACCGCGCTGATGCTAAAATGGTCCGTCTTTCCCCTTCCTAAGCTCCCTAATGGCAGCAGGCAGAGTTTTAATCACTGTGAATTCAGGTTGTGGTCAGATTAGGTAGAAGATAGGATGCATGTTTGTTGTTTTGCAGTGATGTATTGTTTCTGGGATTACTGTGCTGAATAGCAGAGGGTGTCAGCTGATATTTATTACTTTAAGCTGTCTCAGCTGTTCTGGTTCAGCAAATAAACCTACATTCAAAATGAATGAGGAGCTCTGCTTGCCTTGTATGCCATGATGTGTGCAAATGTGATTATTGCTTCCGAGGCAGGGGAAGCTGAAGTCATTGTGGGAGCATTTTTAGTTATTTATTTATTTTTACTCTTTGCGAGCAATCATGCAGATTTCTAAAGCACACAATCAAGCCAAAAGCTCGGCACCTCTCCTCCTAGCCCCATTGTTAAGCCCTGGCATTCCACACGCTGGGAATCGCTCGCTCCCTCTCTCTCTAAGGTGATAAGCTTTAAACCACGCTATTGATTGCTTAAGGCATTACATGTTTTACACCTAGGTTATCAGTGTTATTGAAAGGGGAAGACACAAAGCTACTGGGCCTTAAAATGAATCTACCTCTCGTCTTTTCCCATTTGCTCTGAGGATTTCAGACAATTTGTTTTACACTGATCTCTGCTGTGGAGATAAATAAATGAAACTGGAGACATCAGCCCTCCCCAAGGTTAGATTTAGAAGTGTTATTAGTAGAGGGCCTCATGTGCGCCCCGCTACAAACTGGGCTTGCTTATTCTTTATTTAACATAGCAACAAGGGCCGATTTCAAAAGTTGCTGCTCCCCTTCAGATAAGAAGTGTCACATAGCGCAGTTATCAAGGTAAATTGATAATTTCAAGTGAGAACCTCTCTGTTTCTGATTAAGCCCTGAGGACTGCCTCTCTCCTCTCTTAACTCTTTAGCTCCCCTCTGCCGTGGCCACCACGTTTGTGGCTGAGAGGCCACAAACGAGGAGGCATGGCGGTGTGGTCACGGCTCACCGGATGGGCCTGCTGTTGTGCCTTTGGCCGCCTGTCCTTGGGGAAGTTGAGCTCCCTGGCAGCCTTTTGGGAGTTTGGGAACAAGCGCACAGGAGGGCAGCACCGATGCTCCCCAGGGCCCACGGCAATGGTGGCCCAAGACTTTCCTAGGGTTTCACTATCATTCTAATAATGAAAAAATGATCATTAAACATAATGCAGTGGGATCGCCCTTCCAGAGCTCCAAGGTGACTTTTGCCCAATTTACAAGCACAAAAGTGTGTTTGTCATTTGCAAAAGCCTACCTGCCTTCCTTCTGCCCTGAGCATCCCTGTCAGCACAGGTATGTTGTATTTAGGGAAGGGGTAGTGGATTTGACAGGATACAAATATGGGAGCACTGTGTATCTTGCACTCCGTTCTGGGTGTCTCACAGCAGATGAGTGACAGGAGCAGATAAAGTGCTGCTTTGCCCTTCGGTAGCATGTCCCATTCTGGGTTCCCAGCAATAAACTCAAGACTCAAGTTATCCACAGCAGGAGTGTTACCATACTGCTTGCAGAGGTCAGGGATGTAGCCCGCATGTTTTTACAAAAATACCCTAAAGAGTATCTCAGCCTCTTAAAACTTGGCGACGTCTATCCTCACTGACCCCTTGTGAAACAGGTGTGTTACAAGGCCCGTTTTCTGGGATTGCCCAAGGCACAGGGAACACAAGTCCAGATTCAGTTATTTCAGTGGTTTTTGTGGATTTGAGCTGAAGTGATTTGACCAGGGTCACACAGGAACTTGCAGTAGAGCAGAGAATTAGAGCCATATCCCCATATAGAGCTGGTTCTATAACCAACGGTCCCCTAAATCCACAGTCTCAAAGATGAGATGACTTGCCCGAGATTACACAGATCATCTGTAGCTGAACCTAGAACTGAGCCTTGATCTGCTGCTGACATACCTGAACTGCAAAACGATCCTTCCTCAAAGGACCTAGACACTGTGACATGATGGGACAATGATACTTTTTATGGTCAGAAGACAGAGTTAATAACCCTCTGTGACAGCATCCACCAAGCGACAAAGCGCTTGTTTTTCACACAAAGTGTTTTTTGGGGCCCAGAGGGCAGGCGTGGGGCAGACGGGGAGGCAACGTACTGTGCTTGCAGAACGGCAGTTGTGTGCGGTTGGGGGATTCCTTTTCCCTTTGCTGGACTAACATTACCTTTTTCTGTCTAAAGGACGGCATGAATTGGGTGTGCAAAAATGTCAATGCAAAGAAGAAATAAAGCATTCTGAGCTGCATGGAAATGGAGGAGCGGTGGGAGCAGAATTCTAGCCTGAAAACACTAATTTGCTGCTTTCTGACCAAATGTTTTTCCATCTGTGCACAGCTACAGCTGTTAAAAGGAAAAAAAAAAAAGAAAAAGAAAGGGAACAACATCAGCTAAAACCTGCTGCTGGATTTGGAACTTGACCTGCTCTTTAGTATCATTTTTTATCCCAATAAAGGAATTATATATTTCTTCCCTATACATAAATAGTATTAAATGTCTGATTAGCAAGCAAGTTTGTAAGCAGAAGCAAGACTGTGATTCAGTGTGGAGCAGAGGGAGTGGTGAGTTGCAGTAATTGCTTAGATGTTCATAGGACCTGCCCTATACATGTGTGTTTGCGGTTGCTGAGGACACTCAGGTGTCAGTCACAGATTTCCCTCAGTGACAGATAAAATGCGGTTTTGCTATCAATTGTGAGTAGTTTCTTAAAAACGCTGCTAAGAAGTCATTTGTGTAATGAGAGTAGAAGACTTCCACATATTCCTATAGCCATAAAAGAGGAGTTTGATCATAACGAGACACTGTTGCATTGCGACACTGCTGTAGAAGGAAGAGAAGGGTTATGTGTGTATAATTGAAGCTCTTTACAACTGGAGTAATGCAGGATGAGCGTGCCTAGGGCTTTTCTCGCAGCTGAAGGAGAATTTAGCCCAGCATTTCACCTTGAGCCAGCAAAATCGTGGTTCCTCTGTTCAGTAAGTTCCATATGTGAGATTAGTCTTGATGTTGAACAATCCCTGTTGAGTTTCCCTTGATGTTAAGGCAACTCTGCAGCAAAATGCAATTAAGTCCATGATTACTTTCTAGAATGAGATACCCGGTCCCAGGTTTCCTTTGCGAAATGTGCAAAATAAACTCTCCTACCCCGCTTGCTATCCGGGCGTTGCTTAGCCCTTCAGGGGTGCTCGGGAGATTGCCCTGGTGCGGGCTGACTGCGCAGGGCCTGGGATCGCCCTAACCCGGTACCACTTGCACGTTGCCCGGCAGAGGGTTAGGAAGCTGAACAGCAGATAGGAAGCGCTCTTTAAAATGAGGATTCATTCATTCTTCCCTGAGCTGTCTTTCCTCTAAAAGGATGCAGCCGATGAAATAGGAAAGAATGTTTTTTCCACCTCCTCATCCCTGATTCGAACCTAGCCCCAGCTGACAGTGAGCAGGAGTCATTAGCACGCCAAAGCAGCCATGTCCTGTGCAAAGCGAGCTTGGTGACTTCCTGGGCCAGTTTCTAATGCACAGATGGCAAAATAATCCCGCTGCCCTGCTTGCCAGCTTTGTTTGCTGCCTGCCTGCGAAAGGCCAAAGAATGACTAGGGACTGCATTAGCCCCTTCCACCTCTTGGAGACGGACCGGCGGGCAGGATGGGGAAAGCTGCGTGTACTAAAGCATGTGGCTTTACCACGCGTCAGCGAGTTGACTCATGGACCCAGGCAGACGGCTGACACCCCTGGAGCTCCCAGCTCTTTGCTCCTCCCTTCCCCTGGCCCTCTCCACCTCACGGCAGAAACATCTGCACCGTTCGTGAAGCAGCTCCTGGCCGCCTATGTGCTACAGCCCAGCAGATTAAAATCATCTGGGGCTGATTCCAGGTTCCCCCGTACATCAGGTTGTACCGTAGTGTTGCGGGGGTTGTTCTGCATGTAGTTCAGCTGTCGTTGCTGTGGCTAGGGGCAGAGGGACAGCTGGGACAGCAACTGCTTTAGCAATGCAACTTTAATCTGCCTGTGTCCGTGAGTCAGCACCCTCTGAGTGCATCTGTCTCCAGTGCTGAAGCAGGATGTGCATACTGGAGTAATATAGCCTCCCTTTAAAAACCGGAAAACTAGGAGGGGAAGAAAAAAAAAAAAAAAGCAGGCTCAAGTGATCTGTTAAGCAATAGCTAATGACACAAAGTGACACGGTTCCAGCTTTGCATGGAATGAGTAAGGAGTCATAAGATGCGGAGAGAGATTCATTTACACGTAGCTCGTTCAGTAACTCTCCAGCTACATTAGCTTATCAGGAACCCCAGGAATCTGAACAGCGTGTGTTCCGGCGGCTAGTGAGCCGGAGGAGGAGAAAGGCATCCCAGCATGTGTATGAAAGGTCCCCTTTCCTTGTTAGTAATGCATCCGCCTGATGCAAGCGCTGTAAAGAATTGCAGCCCTGTCTCAAAGGTACGCTTTGTGCTAGCTAGGTGGCTAAATGCCGAATTTTGTGACAGGGAGTCCCAGACCTCAGATTTACCCTCGCTGCATGTTAGGTGCAGAGTGAGATGCTTTAGTACCTCTCCTCTGCCCCAGTTACAGCAGAGCAAAATCCCCTGGGGGGCTCTGGAGTTGATCCTTACCGCTTGCAAGGGGTTTGAGTTGGGCACTTCTCTGCTCTCTGTCTACTTCTCTAACGAGTGGCAAACTTACCCTGTGATAGCCAGCCTGCGTCACAGTTAACTTTTTACATCCAAGAAGCATCTGGGGGAGTAATTGGGGTTTTTTTTTCCAGGCTCACGTTACTGAAACTTGGAAATGTGTGTAAAAAGACGTAGAATAAATTTCCTGTAGCTCCAGTTTGGAAAGAAAAGTTGCCTTACTGAACTCAGGATCCAGAAGTGTTGGCTGGCTCATTTCGTATGCTCATGTGTAGCTACGCATATTGGTTGCTCGTGTCCGTACCACCCAGAGCTTCGCCTAAAATCCAGCCGATGAATGTGGTCCACCTGAGCCCGGCAGTGTGAGAGAGGACGTGGCGCAGAGAGCCATGCTGGGAGGCTGAAGGTGGAGGGTGGGAATGACCACGATTTAAGTAAATCATCCTTCAGTGATGGCTGTAAATGCTCTCTGTATTGTAAACATATCTCTGTGCATTGACCTGGTGAAAACGTAAATGGTTTTGAGGCTCTGTTCGCCTGCCACTCCTTATGTGAACGTAGGTACAGCCTGCTCTACCCTGTGCAGCGCCTGGCTGAATAGCACCTGTAAAACTGGTTGCAGCAAGCCAGAACATCTGCTGTCACTGAGAGAAATCCGTACCCCTCTCAGCCCTTCAGATCCTGTTTGGTTTATGCTGTGTGAGCAAGGCTTTGTCCTTCTAACTCTGTCTGCTTTGCCCTCTTTTAAGTAAGATTGGAGGGAAGCAAACCATCTCATTGGTATGGGTGGAGCTCTGCCACGCGTTGCATCGATTCATAGATTTTTAAAGCCAGAAGGGACCATTACGTTCCTCTCTTCTGACCTCCCGCATAACACAGCCCATTAAATTCCCCCCAGCAAGTCTTGCAGCAAGCTCGGGGACTTGCGGTTGAATTAGAGCACCTCTGGTAGGAAGACACCCAGCCTTGATTTAAAGGCTCTCAGTGACAGACAAATCCACCCCAGGCCTTGAGAAGTTTGTCGCAGGGGTTAATTCCCTTCCCAAGGGGAGGTTGTCGTGCTTCACTTTCACGTCATTAAATCTGGTTTTACCTTTGTGATAGATTAAAGCCGCCTCTCCTGCCCATTTGTGTTCTCTGGAGGGGAAAGATGATGGAGAAGTGAAATTCTCCAAGGGCACATCAGGAAACGTGGGTTCAAGTCCCTCTTCCAGCAGCGGGCGTCTGGAGTGGGGACTCGTGTCCTCGGCTGTCTGCCGCAGGATTTTTCACCCCTCGTGCGGGCTTGATTGAGAGATTTCTTCCCTTGCCCTTGGAGAACGCTGACCAAAGCCTCGTGCAATGCTGTCGCCTTTTCCCTGCGTTCCCAGCGCTGCTTCTTGCACGTTAATGAGTTTTTTCTCCTTTGAAAATGCAACCGATCACTAGACTTGTTTTCTTAACTCTACTGGGATGAGACCAGCCCACGCAGACGCGTACCCTACCCTACAAGGCACTCTCCGAACTGCACACAAATGGGCTCTTTCTTCTGCAAAGGCAAAAGATCGCTGCTGTCTCCTTCGGCTGCATTCCCTGGTCCAGCTGGGTCCACACAAGCTCTTTCTTTTATGTTCCCTTTTTGAATTTCACCAAAAAGGGGTATTTGCAATATCTGGTCATGTTGTTACTCAATGTATAATTTAGATGTCTTTGTCACAAAATAAATAAATTAAAATTTAGTAGAAAGCCAGATCTGTGTTTTGGGGTGATCCTTGGCTTTAACAGGCTTATTTTTCCAAGAGTCAGTTGAAGACTGTGTCTTTTCAAGGAGCTGTTGGTCGGTCTGTGAAATGACTCTCCCACTTTTTCTTTCTGTCATCGTCAGAAAAAGGAGACAATTGATGGTAGTAGAACTAGTCCAAAATGACCTAAAAAGCAAGAAGGCAAGAAAGGCAAACTTTGGGAGGCCCCTTTATTGTTTCAGAAATTATTTTGTATGTTTAAAAAAAAGTGCATCTGTCTCATGAAACACGTTCCCCACTGACCTGGCAGGAAAGTTAAAGGGGAAAAAGAAAAGCAGGGAATAATTGGTTTTGGTTCAGTGAAACTGAGTTTGAGGGAGTATCGGAGGGGGAGCAAATTCTGGTTTTGTTTCTTTCCAACTAATTTGACTCATTACTGTTCCTGCAACACCAGGACAGGCCAAAAAGGGAGAAGCTGTTAGAGCCCTTGAAAAGCGCAGCTCCTTCCCTGCACAGCCAGGATGCCTGGAAGGCTGTCAGAGCCATCGGAAAAACCGTTATAGATGGTCACACTTAATTTCTTTTCTCTTTTTGTAAGGCATGCTTTGTACCGATTCCTGATATTTTTTTCAGCAAAGTAGGAAATACTTTTTCATCTTGTTTGCCTAATGGATTGGATGTGAAAAATATTTCTCTGGCAAGTGTACACCCTGAGAGTTGTTTGACTTGTCACGACGTTATGAATCGGCCCCTGCGGTCCCCTGCCCCTGAAGTCTCCGCGTTTCCCCTCTCCTGTTGCTGTTTACAGTGGGACACGCTGTAATTTATGGCAAGGCTGCGTGTGACCTTGCATGTGTCTGCTAGGGCGAACCACGGCTCCCTTCCCCGCACGAGCCCGGCTTTACATTCACATGATGAATTTAGCGCTCCCGAAAGGACAAGGAACTGAGTGGTTCGGATGCAAAAAAAAAAAAAAACAAACAAAAAAAAGGAATAATAATAATCCACAGCCTGAAGGAGAAATAAACAGTGAGATTTTTTTTCTTCCTCTTTGACCAGTATATTTCCTTGTTGTTTACGGCCTCACACACCCTAGACTACTGCCTTTAACACAGCACAGAAATCTTCCGGGACTGTAGAGCTGGAAATTTCAGTCTTCCTCTTATCTCGCGCTGGATATCCTCCAGCTCCTCTCCGGGCAGCCCGCGGCGGAGCGCTGCGGCCGGCCGGGGGCCTGCAGCAGCAGCCCGCCCCCGTTTCCCGCCGCTTTCCTCACCCCGGCA